GTTTATCAGCTGCCCTACTTCCTAAAAATAGATATCAACTGTATAAACTTAAATCAGTTTATCTCTAGTTTTTGTTGTCACAAGTGAATAATAATTATTCTTGCGTAGAAGAATGCTTTAGTATTTTATGGTACATTTACTTACCAAATACTTCAGTCTGTTGACATGCACATCAATATAAACACAGATAAAATAGAGTAGGAACATATTCAGTTGTAAGAAAATGTGTATTGTTACAGTGGGTTAAATAAAGATAACTGAAAGAACTCATGACCTGAAAGTGTTATAAAAGTATTACATAGAACATGAGGGGTGATTTACTCCAAAATATAAATATTTAGTGATTAAAAACAGAAAACTAAACCAAGAAAAAGACCACGGAGTCAGGTGAGTTTGTTGGAAGACAGATGCTTCCCCCTGGTGGTTTAATAAAGGCACAGCATGAAAAGAACTGATTWGTTAGTTTGAAAAAGTTATGAAAATCAGATGTTTAACATTTTATAATTATAGATTCTCTGTATCAGTTATTGTTAAAAATGTAGTCCGACTAAACAGATATCATTTAAACAGTTTATTTTCTTTAAATTTTATGGAATTGTTTGAAACATTTCTGACAGCAGCATGAAAAACTCTGGGTGTTTTCCCAGCAGCTGCTGATTGTTGTGTTTTTTTTTTATCAAAATGTTTTAGTATGTAAACTTTATCTGCTCTTACTGAATCTTGTGTATTCTCTGTTTTATGACGTTTTGATTGCCGCAGGTTTCCAAAGAGACGAGCGCGACCGCAGATGAAGTCCAGGCGGAGGCGGCGGCCATCTTGGATGAGATGGCTCATCGCTTGCAGCTCAGCACCGTTCGCTTCTTTGCCTTCACACTCAGCAAAGTCTTCAAAACGTTGTTCAGGAGCATCTGTGTGAATGAAGAGGGCATCCAGAGAGTGAGTGAACAGCAGGAGGGCTGTTTAAAAAAAAAAATAAATACGAAACCGTAACATGTTTCTCATCGTTTTTAGCTCCAGCAGGCCATTCAGGAGCACCCGGTAGTTCTGTTACCAAGTCACCGAAGCTACATGGACTTCCTGTTGATGTCCTACATCCTGTACACCTATGATTTAGCTCTACCTGTCATCGCTGCTGGCATGGGTAGGAACACGACTTGAACCATGAAACTACTTCATTTTACAAAGAAAACTCAGGCTGGCTGAAAGATTAAGTAGCTAAAGAAGCAAAAGTCTGTTTAAAAACTGAAATAACAAAAGGATAGCTAAAAGCTAAAGTAGCAAACGGCTGGTTCAAACCTTAAGTAGCTAAAGGCTGGTTCCAAGCTAAAATAGCAACAGTCTGGCTAAAAACTAAAGTAGCAAACGGCTGGGTAAAAGATAAAGGAGCTACAAGCTAAAGTAACAAAAGCTTGTTTAAAAACTAAGATAATAAAAAGATAAAGTAGTAAAAACTGATAAAAACTAAAATAACAAGAACATAAAGTAGTAAAAACTGATTAAAAACTAAAATAACAAGAACAAAGTAGTAAAAACTGATTAAAAACTAAAATAACAAGAACAAAGTAGTAAAAACTGATTAAAAACTAAAATAAAAAGGTAAAGTAGTAACAACTGATAAAAACTAAGACAACAAAAAGATAAAGTAGTAAAAACTGATTAAAAACTAAAATAAGAAAAAGATAAAGTAGTAAAAACTGATAAAAACTAAAATAGCAAATGCTGGCTAAAAGATAAAAGAGCTAAAAGCTGGTTCAAAGCTAAAGTAGTTTCTGAATGAAAGTTAAAGTAGCAGAAGTCTAGCCATAAACTTAAGTTGTAAAAGGTTAGCTAAAAGCTAAATCTGCAACAGTGTGCAGGGGTTCCCCTACATGTATTTGATTGTGGCGCTTCGTCACGCCAAAATAAAAGCTGCCACACCTTCAGAATGAAGTTTTTATTTTTTATTGATGTAAAACAGGGGTTGACACAATCATTGTTTAATTTGTCAGAGACAAACTATTTTTGTTTCAAACAACCAGATCTGCCTCCTGGTTGTCCGGTGGAAAACCAAGAAAAAAAGACCTGGATTGAAGTTTTCCTCCACGTGTTCTTTGTAGTAAAAATGAACGAGAGAAAAAAAAACTTGTTAAAACAATCWATGGATTGAACTGACGGTTCTTTCATCCAATAAAGAGAACCAGAGTCAAAAGTTTTATCCAATCAGAACAGAGCAGGGCGGGTCGTACCGTCTGACTGACAYCGCTGCCTTTTTTTCTTTCTCTGTGGGTGGAGTCAGCTCCCAAACACCTCCCAGGAAAGCCCTCAGCGTTTCCTGGACTATTTTCCACCGAGGATTACATTGTATTTTATATATATTACATTTATAAAAGCACCTCGCAGCATTTCCACCGTAACACAGTGTTCAGGAGCACAACAACACCACCACAGATCAGCTGACTGGTTTTAAAGTGAGGGGCAGCTGCTGCACCTGTCCACCTGCAGCGCAGCTCCGACCAGCCTGGGACTTCAGGGTCCACATGTCAACCCCTTCAGACGCTTACATGTATAATGAGGGTCAAAAAATCTGTATTAACTAGACATGGGTTTTTACGAAGTAAAAACAAGTGTGCATTGTCTGCAGCATTGGACTTGCAGAATGAACGTTGACCAAGTTCAAATGTCTTTTCTATACTAGCTTGTGCCTATCATGTCAGCAGCTGTTTTTAATTAAGGTAATTGAGTGTCAATATGAAGTTTGAAGAGAAAGATTTTTTGTTTAAGTTGCGTTAGCTGGGTTTTGAACCCTGATCTCCCACATGAAAGTCCATGAC